ATTTAAAGAACAATTAGCTCCAATTTTATTTTTATTTTCATATATAAGGAAATATAGCATCCTACTAAACTACTATGACACAAATATGATCCAGATACCTAGACCAAGGAGAGGTAACAGAAAAAGAAACTATAGGCAAATATCTCTAATCAGTATCGTTGGGAAAATACCAAATAAAATATTAGCCAAGAGCTTACAGCAATATATTAAAGAAATTATATACCATGACTATTGTTTCTACTGTCAACTTTTACTATAAATGCAGTGTTGGTTCAATATAAGTTAAACTATAAACATAACATAATATTAATATTTTTAAAACAATAATCACATGATTATTTTATTTTTTTAAATTTTAATAAAGCTTTTGAGAAAATATAATATCCTTTCATGTTAAAAGCACTAGAAAGTATAGGAGTAGATTGATCTTTCATTAGTATGATACACAATATAAGAGCTATCCCTGTTTGTAATGGAGCAACACTTTCCAGACAGATCATGAGTGAAACATTGTCATCATTATTATTTGATATAGTTTTAGAAATGTTAACAATATTAGTGACAAGAAAAAGAAGTTAAGGGAATAAACATAATGAAGAAATAAAGGCATCTATAGTTTTGCAGACTATGATTTATTTAACTCTAGAGAATCAACTAAATAGAAAAAATTAACAACTTCAGCAAAATAGAAGGATACAGAATAAACCCACAAAATAACTGGTCTTTTTTTATATTATCAACGAAACTCAGCAGAAAGAAATAGACAAAGAAATTCCATTCAAAATAACTGTAGAATTATAAAACATCTGGGATTCAACCTATCAAGATACACACAAGAATTATGGATACAATTATAAAACATTCTTTATAGAAATAAAGGAACATTTAAATAATTATAGAGGAATTAATACATAGAAGACTTATGAATAAATTACAAAGCAATTTTTACAGAAATAAAATAACACATAGAGAGGAATTAATTGCTCATCATTGACTGTGTAAATATAATAAAAATGACAATGCTACCCAAATTACAGTATAGATTAATGCCATGCTAATCAAACTACCAAAAGAGTATCTTAGAAGACTAGACAAAATAATAATAAAATTCATCTGGAAAAAAAAAGATCAAAAATCTCAAGGAAATCTTGAAAAATGAATTAGGAATATAAAGGAGACTTGGCAGTACCATATCTCAAACTGTACTACAAAGTAGCAATCATCAAAACTATTTGGTATTGATTTAAAAAATGTAAAAGTTTATAAGTAGCAGAGAAAAGGTAAATAAGATTCAAAAGCAATTGAATTTAGTATAATAGTATTCAATAGACCCAAGGACACCAACTATTGAGGTAAGGACTTCTTAATTAACAAAAACAGCTGGAAAAATTGGAAAATAGTCTGCGAGAAATGAGATTTAGACCAACATTTCATATTACATACCATAATAAGTCCTAAATGAATATATAACCTAAATATAAAAATCATATCATAAATAAATTAGAAGAAGAAGGGAAGAGATAACCTTTCATAACTATGGGTAGAGAGAGTTCTTGACTAATCTAGAGTAAGAGATGGTCATAAAAAATAAAATCAGTTTTGATTATGAAATTAAAAAAGTTTTGCACACAAAATCATTAGAATAATAAGGCAAGTAGCTAACTAGAGAAATATTTATAGCATATTTCTTTGATAAACATCTAATATCTGAAATATATGGGAATTCGACAGAAATATATACATATATATATGTATGTATTCATGAAAGCACCATTCCTCAATAAATAAATGCCAGGTGATGGAAATGGGAAGTTTTCAATGGAAGAAATTCAGTCTATCAACAACAATATGAAAAATGCTCTAAATTGCTAAGAATAGAATACAAATTAAAACAACTCTGAGGTTTCACCTCACACCTGTCAGATTGGTAGAGATGACAAAAAAAAAATGATAATTGTTAGAGAGGCTGTAAGAGAACAGACACACTAACTCACTGTTGATGAAACTATGAATTGATCCAACCATTCTGGAAAGTAATTTGGAATTACAGTTAAAAATCCACTAAACTGCATATTCTTTGAACCAATGATAGTATTACTAGGTTTATACCTATACCCCCAAAGAGATCAAAGAAAAAAGGAAAGGGCCCAATGTCCAAAGATATTTATAGCAACAGTTCTATTGTGACAAAGAATCAGAAGCAAATTGAGTACTCAGTAAAAAGGAAATGGCTGAACAAATTATGGTATATTAATATAATGGAATATTGTTGTACTTCTAAGAAAAGAGGAAAGGAACAGATTCAGTAATACCCGGTAAGACTTGTATGAATCATTGCACAGTGAAATGAGAAGAACCAGGAGAACAATTTACATAATGACTCCAACAATGCAAAACATTGAATTTTAGAAACCAAAACAACTTTAAAAGACAAGAACTCTGATCAATGCAATGACCAATCAGGACTTCAGAAGACTAATGGGGAAATATCTCTTTGCAGAAGAAACTAGAGGTGCAGAATGAAGCAAACATTTTCAGACATGGCCATTCATTGAATCTGTTTTGCTTGACTATAGATTTTTGTTATAAGGGAGGGCTTCGGATTTGGGGAGATTTATGTTGGGGAAAATGGATGGGTGGTGACAGTGATTAAAAAAAAGAAAAGAAGGAAAAAGTATAAATGAAACACTTAGTGTTAAAAAACACATAGAAGAGAACAAAGCAGTTCAGATAGGGAATGGACAAACAGGACAGTTTTGTTGTTATCATGATAAATTTAATATACATCACAATAATATTCTGTAACATTCACATACCATGGTTTTTTTTCCAGCCATTTCCTAGGAATTAAGTTGCCCAGTTTCTTGCTATTTATTCCAGCTATTTGCTAAAAAGAAAGGTGACATAAAATTTTGAGGGTATATTGAATCATCTCATAGGCCTATAAATTGGGGGAATTCAGTTTTCCTTTTTGAAGTCTTCCTACACTTTGATCTAGTCTTGATTAAATGAAACTCATTAATTAAGGAAAACATTTTGACAAAAATTGGAGCCTACCACTTGATACACAAGCTAAACAATTCTGATAGCAAGGTTTTTTTTTTTACTCAGAACCTTTTTTATTTTCAGCTAATGGGTTATATTTTAGAATAGTTGGAATTATTGTATATTTAAATGAAATAGGCAGGGCCCTAGACTCTGTCAAATGTGGAGAGATCATTATAGGATTGGATAATTGAGTGAAATAATTCATTTTCATAAATGGAGGTTTGTGCTTCTCTAATTCTTCCCATTTTGGTTAATGTTCCCAGGTTTGGAAAAACCATCCCATTAGAGTTAGTGTTCCCAAGTTTACACATATTATTTTTACTTGTGACTTGGACCAACGCTACCTTTCAGAATGTATTACAAGGATAAGTTGTTTGTAAAAATATTTGAACTTATTAAGTGTTTAGGTGACTTTGGCTGAATCCTATTCTCAATAATTTTGCCAGGATTTTGGGGTGGCAAACTTTTACAAACCAAGAGTTAGAGTGGTCAATCCTTTGATTGCCTAGATACAGGGCCCCATAATATAAATCACACTGGCTTAAAATGTAATAACTTAAACTGTCTAGCACAGTGCTAAACACATAGTAGATGCTTAGTAAATATCTCTTGATAGTTTAGCTAAATCTATTAGATAGATTCAATAACCTTTGCATAGATTCAGAATTATTTAAGGAGTCCAAGTGCCCTAGTCAGTAAACACTGATTTCTATCCATGTCCCTATTTACTATACTATGCTATGAGCCTTTTAGCTTTACTTGTATGAGTTCTTGTTTGTTAGAACAAGAGAGGAAGGTAATTTTTTTTTTTTTACATTTCACTTTTCATTACTAAGAGGGCTATAGTAGGATCATAAAAGATCGGAGTTAAAAGGGACCTTGGGGATCATCAGTTCCAACTCCCTCATTTCATAGATGAGAAAACTGACACCCAAAGGGATTAAGCTCCAAGTCACATACATCTAGTACATGGCAGCATCAGATCTGGGAAACAGATCTTATTCCAACTCAAGAAATGCTAGAGGCTTTCCTCTATTGACTGTCTCCAATTTATCCTGTATATATTTTGTCTGTTCATAGTTGTTTGCATGTTGTAAGCTCCTCGAAAGCTGACGATGTCTTTTTCCTTTCTTTATCTCCCTAGTGTTTAGCATAGGGCCTGGTACTTATTAAGTACTTCATTGCTGCTGTTGTTCAGTCATGTCTGACTCTATGCCATGGGGTCTTCTTTGCAAAGATACTGGAGTGGTTTGCCAGTTACTTCTCCAGTATGTCCCCATTTTACAGATGAGGAATGGAAGCAAATAGCAGTTAAGTGACTTGCTGCAGTTCCACAGCTAGTAAAGGTCTGGGTTGAATTTGAACTCAGGTCCTCCTGACTTCAAACCTGGTACTCTATCCACAGCACCACCTAGCTGCCCTTTGTAGGCACTTAATAAATGTTTATTAACTGACAATGCCTAGACAGGCCTAGTAGGAAATACAGAATACGCTTCCTCTTCTTTCTCAAGGAGTCCATTGACCATCTCCTAGTAGCAGTGAGATAATTTCATTCTATTTTTTCTTAACCTTTTGTTGCTAATTTTAAGAAATTTTCATTTTTTACTTAGCAAGCATGTGTATATCTTTGCATTATAAGCAGAAGTGACATATAAATGACTTGGAAGACCTCCAGTAAGAAAGAAAGCAAAGCCCTTATCTTGTTATGATTGGCTGCCAAATAGCTTTCATTTATACATGCACATTTACTATACCTACCCTCAAATGGAATACTTTGGCCTCCAATTTTCATTTTAAATGCCTCTTTCAGAGATTAAGCAATTCAGAGGATAGTCTAAACCTAAGTTGATTTGAATTCAAGTAGCTTCAGGGCTTATTTCTTTTAGAAACTCAAATAGAGAAGTGAACCTTTTTAATGTGTTAATATGTGGTGGCTTTTTTTCCTCCCCCAGGTGACATTCCATTACATCTTAATATAAGAGAGGCATCAGATTCAGGCCAACCTATTGTGTTTTCACAACCTCAAAGTAATGAGGTAAGTTATATGAATTATAAAAATTTACTTTTTTTATTTCTACCTGTAATTGGAGGAAGTTGTGTGTGTGTGTGTGTGTGTGTGTGTGTGTGTTTTAAATGTTGAAGAAGACAATTCGGAAGCCTGAGTTAATTTCCCTGAAGAACAAACCTAAAATGGCAGTGGCTTAGAAGCAACTTGATGTGTGGGAAAGAAAGCATACTGGACTCCTAATCATGAAACCCAAGATCTACTCTTGGCTGTGCCATAGACTGTTTAACCTTAAACAAGTCCCTTAATCTCTGGCTCTGATTTCCTTCATCTACTAAGGGAAGAGATTGGACTAAATATCAATGAGTCTCTCCAGCTCCAAAGCATCTTTTGTCTTGGGAAGTGGACTTCCCAACACTTACTCTGAACAGACTCAGACCAAAGGACCAAATCAAGAGCTTATTTGCCCCCCCCAAAATGTTACAATTTATCAGACACCCAGTTTCTAGCTAAATAATATCTTTGACAGCCAAATATCATTTAGTCTGAATCTTTTTTGTATGCTGAAGTACAGGCTGCTTGATAGGGACAGATTTAATGTTGTCTTTATTCTCAGTGACCTTGAAAATAGTAAGTTTGGTGTGAGAAATTTTACAAACCAATAGTGCTGGGATTTCTAATGCATTGACCTTAACCTTAACAAATATGATTTTGAAGAAAAGTAAAGAAGCAAAGTATATTAGTGTCTCACTTATTCAGCATCATTGAGGAATATAAATTCCACACAAATGGATTTTCCAGGTAACTGAAGGTTATCTTTTTAAGCACAAAAATTTTTTATTTTAACCATTTCTGATGGAATTCTTTGCAACATATAATGTGTGCTCCTATGACTTTTTAAACAATGTGTACGAAACCTAATGTAACCTTTTCTTGAGTCTCAAGGTTACCATTATGAACGTCAATTATTATACTACTCTGTAATACAGTAATTCCCTTAAGGACCATTGATACAAGTAAGGCTGTTTGTTCCTACACTAAATGGCCTCTTGTGTCTTCTTTTTAAAGACTTCTAGACTTTTTACTGAAACTCAAATTGTCAGCTACCATTCTCAATGCTATTTGTACACATGACTCTAGCAGCCACTTTTCCCATCTAATTTGTTGCTTTTAATAAATGGTAGAATGGGGAACCAACACTATTAAGCTTGATAGAATCATGTGTAAAATAAGTAAATAGATGCTGAGTGAAGTCTCAAGAAGCTCTGCTGTAAGTATGATATGAGCTATGTGTCGTTATCTATTGTAGCTACTTTAAGGGTCTATACACATAATTCTGATTTATAGCAGTCATTTCAAGATGGTTACAATTCCTGGAATCTATTATGTTTAGTATGGTGGGGTGGGAGATGGAGGAAGTTATTATATGTTGTCTTCTCCCATAAGTATATAGGTGTCTGTTTTGTAACAAATATAAAAAAAAAAACCACTTCTTAACATTTTCTAGTAATCTTTAGGAAAGATATTTTCCTTCATAACTAAATATTCCCAAACCAAATACAGATATACCTTGGTTTATGCAGTAGGTGTGATCCTACAAAAACTGTATACGAATTAAATTTTTCCTAAATCAAGTCATATATTTTAAATGCCTTCAGGGAACTGTCTACTCAGAGAAAATCTATGTTGAAACCTTTTCACAAGTGACTAATTATTCCCTAGTTTTTCTCTTTTACAAATTTGTATTTATTGTATGTTGAGCTTTGTTATTATGGGTTGTCTTTCCCACCCTCTCTAATCCTCCTAAATGAGATGCATTTATACAATCCTGCTTTCTTTTGGCTTGACTTGCCAAGGTCATGGTAACTCAGGGCAGTGACTGTAACTATATAACGTGATGGAGGACAACTACCCAGGAATAACGTAACTTAAAAATCAAGTCACAAGACTGATGGGATCAGTAGTAGAATTCAGGCTGTTGCACCTTCAAATTTGATTTGATTTCCTTGCACTGAAAGGTGTCGCCAACTCTGTTAAATGACATTTGTGAAGACTCTCGTCTAAAGACATAGACAGATATCTGTCTTAAATAGCAAATAAATACACCATAGTGTAGCCTAAGTGGTATAGTGTATAATATGCTTAGAGAGGTAGGTTGAAACCTAAGTGGGAGGGGGATTTAGATTTAATCCCATTAGGAGCCAGTGGATCTTTTTGAGCAGGAAAGGGACACAATGAGACATGTGCTTTAGGAAAATCACATTGGTAGGCATGTGAAGGATGGATTAGACCGAGGAGAGACTTGAGGTAGGTAGGTCAGTTAGTAGGATAATTAAATGGTCCAGGCAAGAGGTTATAAAGATCTGAATAATGGTGGTGGCAGTGGAAGTGGAGAGAATGGGGAAGCTTGGAAAGATATTGTGGAGGTAGAAACAATATGGGGGATGAAGAAGAACAAAGAGTCAAGAATGACTCTAGGTTGTGAACTTGGATCACTTTGGAAGGATAGTGGACTTGGACAAAAGTAGGGAAGTTAGGCAGAATTTGGGGGGAGAGATGATGAGTTCTTGAGTTTGATACATTGAGTGTAAGATGTTTGCGTGGAGATACTCAGCAGGAAGTTGGCAATGCTAAACTAGAGCTTACTGACCAAGGTTCATCTCTGCCACTTATTAATCGATGATCACCTCTCTGAGGCTCAAGTTTCCTCAGCAAAATGGGGAAGATGCTTATCTCTGTCCTTGAACAAATCATTTAACTTCTTAGGGACTCAGTTTCTTTATCTGAAAAAAAAAGGGGAAGAGGATTTCTTAGTGTTTGGTAAAATAGCAAGGATTGCATGTGGCCACACTGGCACCCTCAGGGGTTGTGAATGGAACAGAATTAAAGTATAACTATAGAAAGATAAAGAAACCTGTAAGTCTCATTGATTTTGTAATTGTTCTGCTCATAAGGATTTTTCCAACTGTTTTCTTTAAAAGCTACTTTTCAAAATTAGGTCTGTAAGTCCAGCCAAGGTTCCAGTTCAGAGCTCTTCCTTCTAATGTATTTATAGTTGAATGAAGAAGGGATATGAGCCCCAACTCCCCATTATCATACACATTTATAATAGAACATAGTTCGTACCCCCATGAGTGCCCAGATTTGATGTGCTGACTCTTTAGATGGCTTCCCCACTTGCCATAATTTGAGGGGTGTCATTTCTTGTTTGTTTTTTTTGCCTTTTTTTTTTGGTGAGGCAATTGGGGTTAAGTGACTTGCCCAGGGTCACACAGCTAGTACGTGTCATGTGTCTGAGGTCACATTTGAACTCAGGTCCTCCTGACTGTAAGGCCGGAGCTCCATCCACTGCGCCACCTAGGAGGGGTGTCATTTCTTGTAAAAAGCCTCAAGTAAATTTTTTGCAAGTAATTTAAACTCAGAATTATTGAATGGCATTCATGGGGCCAGAATATACCCGAACAGATGGAGCTGTAGCCACAGACCTCTTGTTTGAACTCTTCAAGAAAGTATGGCTCCTGGTATCAATACCTCTCCATTAAGTGGAGGAATTAACCTTGGTCACTGATACCCATTATCCCTTTTTTCCCCCTAGAGTTATTAGATGAAAAAAACTTTTCAGAGCCTGAGCAGTATTCTATCAATAGTATATCATTAGTATGTGATTAATAACAACAGTAATAATAGCTTGCCTTTATATAACCATTTATGTCTTTAAAGGGCACACATTATCTCCAGGCAGCTAGGTTGTGTAGTGTATAGAGTGTTGGGCCTGGAGTCAAGAAGACCCAAATTCAAAACCTACTTTATACATTTACTGTAACCTGGGACCCTGGGCAAGTCATTTAACCTGTCTGCCTCAGTTTCTTTATCTGTAAAATGGGGATGAAAGCTTATATCCTAGAGTTGTTTTGAGAATAAAATGAGATAATTTTTGTAAAGCTCTTTGCAAACTTTAGAGTGCTATGTAAATGTTAGCTGTCATCATCATCATCATCATTGTCATTGTCATCTCACTTAATCCTCATAGCAACCCTGTGAAGTAGCATAATTATTATTATTATTCCCCTTTTACAGATGAGGAACTGAGGCTTTGGGAAGGTAGAGTGACTTGTACTGTACTCTATAACTGATAAATACTGAAGCTGGGACTCAAACCCAGATCTTTTCCCTTTAAGTTAAGCACTTGACACCAGAGGTGTCAAACATATATCCTGTGGCAGGAGTGCCACCCAAATGAGATCAAAATGTAATTGGGAAATATTTAATAAAATAAATAAAAATACAATAGAACACAGATAATGGCAATTTATAGTTTTCTAAATCAATACGCAGCCCTCATGTATGGTTTAGTGGCTTCCATTTCTACTTGACTTGGGGCAGCTAGGTGGCTTAGTGAATAGAGCACCAGCCATGGAGTCAGGAGGACCTGAGTGGCAATCTGTCTCAGATTATTACTGGCTGTGTGACCCTGGGCAAGTCACTTAACCCTGATTACCTCCAGAAAAAAAAAGTTGTATGACATTAACTTGCCCCCTTGCTCCATTACTCTCCTCTGAAGCACAAAATTAGTTTCCGTTGTTCCTACTTGCCACCTTTGTGCAGAGATGCACAGTATAATAAATAATAGTGAAACAGAACCTATCAAGTTAGTTGCTGGTTTTCAAGGGGTTGCAGGCTGTCCATTTTTTTCTTCTTAGGGATTTATATACAGGAGCTGCCATAGGCAAAATTATGAAACAGGCAAGGTTTGCCTTACTGGACATCCCTTCTCCCTCTCTTTCCCATCCACTGCTTTCAAATCCCAGGGCTCTCATTCTTCGCTCATAAGCTCATTTATGCTAAGGCAATAGGAACTTGATGTGAACCCCTCCCTGCCCCAGTATTAGCAGATTTAAACAGCGGTGTTTGCAGAGAGTAATAATATTGACCCCTTTTCAGTTAGCACTCAAAGGAATGATCTATAAATGGTGAAATTTAAGGCATCTATACAGGAGTTATGTGGGGAAGAGGGCTTTTCCCAAATCATC